ATTTTATCTGAATTAGTTCGAAAGTGATCTCTCCTCCAATTTTCCGCGATTACACCTCGGAGGAAACTTAAATTCTGATTAAGTGAATATCCCGTGCAGTCTTGGACCTTGAATCGTGTAGAATTTTTCACGCTTAAATTTTCGAACGTTACTGAAAACAATTTCTTCGATCAGCAATCCATTTCATCTAAAATTAATAAAAGTGATAGGAAAGGAGTATCGTCGAAAAATCGCTGTCGAAAAGTTGCACCGTCGTAAACGACCGCATAATGAACTTTAAACATTGTCCCGCGTGCGGAAATGGGACAACAATGACGGCGAGTAAGCATTGATAATGATTCAAAGAACTCGCGGGTTATCATTGCCCATCATCGTCCATCTAACTCGGTCGACAATAGAACCATGCAAAGCGGAGGAAGTCTTCTAGATCATTGATCACGTCGCATTGTCTCACGCTTCTGTAGACAAGCATCGAACCGTCGAACGAAAAATTACTTCGATCGTGGTCAATAACGAATGTAGCCTAATTTCTAATTTCTTAGAAGAAGAAAATAACTTTACCTTTCATTTGCCAGGTACTTATTAATTATCCTATTTGCTAGTCCATTCTGGATCTCAAATACTATAGTAGGCATCGAAGCAGAAAGGAAAAGATAGTTAAAAGTACACGTAAGAATAGTTACAGATTCGTCATGCAACTATACTAAAAGTAATCGTTAGAGTGGATAGGGAGTAGTATCTATATTAATGCAACAATAGTTATTAGAGTAGACATTATAGCAGAAGACAGAACTGTACAGATTTATAGAGCTAATAGAGCTAGATTTGGTCTCTGTAGCCCTAGTATCTGTCAATGACTCAGTTACTTAATTAAACCAAAGTTATTGCTATAGCTAGGGACTTTTGGGAAGATTTCCTATTTCTAGTTCTCAAGGGATTCTCAACTTCGATCTAACGCAGACCTAAGCAGATGCGTCCTTAGAGTCTTGACCTATTTTTCCGTGGCACTTCATTTTCGAGATGGAACTTTGTAAAATTCATTCGAAACTTGCGGGATAAATATTTTTCCTTTCTTTCCGGGAAAGTTTTCCTGCTTATTACCCTACAGAAATTTCTTCGCGTGCCTGGCGGTGACAAGTTTTATTCAAAAATTGAAATATTACGATTGGTCACTTATTTACATTTATTATATATTGATTCGTAGTGAGAGCGCAGTGTAGCTTCAAAGTTCAAATGCGATCTTAATGATAGCTGTTTGCAAAGTGAAAAAGTCACGAGTGTACGGGGGTCAAAGATAATCGTACACATCGAGCAGCTATCACGTTTACTTCAGACATCATCGTTACGTCGGCCTCGATACTTAGATTACGCCAGTTACTCGAATGTCTACTTGTAGTTATTTAATAACTTTATTGAATGAAAAACATCTCGAAGATATGTGAAAAAAGTAGTCGTTAGAGTAGGGAATCAATAGACATTATAGTCCTATAAAAGTAGTCGCTAAAGTAGTTATGTAATTGACATTACAGAATACTAAAAATAAAGATGAGCACAAACAAGAAGTAGTCACTGGTAAACGCAACAATATTAGATTATAGATTGAATCAGTAACGAAAATAGTAGTCAGAGTAAGAAGTCAGTGGACTCTAAATTGCTATAAATGTAGTTGTCAACACAGACATAGAATTGGTATTACAGTTGGAAAGGATTATGTAACGCATTGAAAAGAAAGATATATCAACAATGTTGTAGTCGTTCTCTCTGTTATCAGTCGTAGGGGAGACATTTCGTAAACATTTCTCCTGTAAGCAAAATTTCTGCTAATTTATTCTTAAAAAGTTAATCTCCGATTTCGACATCAGTCTGTCGCGTTAATCGCTTTATCCTTGACATAACTAATAACCTTATGACACGGTGAACAGAGTGAATCTCGTTTACAGTCTATCGCTGTGGCGTTGATCAAAAAATTCGAGAACAATAATCCATCGAACCCGTTGAATTGTTTGAAAATGGACAGGACGTTATCTTCTTCGTTTAAAAAAGAGACTAGAGTTATTATAATGGAGATTTGAGTAGATAGTTAGAGCAGGAGTAAAAATAGTTGTTAGAGTAGCAAGTAGTCAGGTATTAAAGTGCTATAAAAATAGTTATAGAGTTGATATTGCAGTATAGTAAAAATAGAGGCCAGAATGGAGAAATAGTAGGCACTAAAGTAATACTATAATAGCAAAACAAAACATAGTTGTTAGAGCTGAGGTGCTATAAAAGTAGTCAAAAATAATAGCAGTTCTTGTGTAACCTAGTGTTAAATATTTTGTTAATTTACTTTTGTAAAAGCAACTCTGTGTGGAAATAAGTGTTAATCGAAAAGTTGACGAAGGATAATCTATCGAATCCGTTTAGAGGTTTATACGGCACGGCCAGAAATAGGTATATTTCTTCGACGGAGTCGATACCGCGTCACCATTCACAGTGTACGAAAACTTTTATGCTGGATACGTATCTGCGGGGGTGGAACTTATTTACTTGGTCCACACAGAATTCCTCCGAGACTCCAAAGGGGTAGTTCCATGCATTTTAGAGGCGCACGTACGTCGAGACAGCCTGAACAAACTTGAATGAGAATTTGTTGCTGCGTAGGGTAGTTTACGCCCCATTGTAGACTGCCAATGGGTTTCCCATGTAAATTGAATCCAGAAGATTGATACACATATTTCGTTTTGTGTGTTTTGCACTCCCAGAAACGAGTTCCATATCGATAAAATAATTTTTTTATACGTCGATGCGCCGGGTCGAATCGTCCGCCATATTGGAAATTCTAATCGACGATATATTTGTGCCTGCCAATATTTTATATTCACTGACATTAAATCATTTTTTAACACAACAGTTACTGGATGTAACGAAGATTATTTTATATAAAAATTATTAATATACAACACTTCGTGATAAGATAGCCATTCGTTTTGGTGTGGATTTAGGTTATGTAAGTTGATGTAAATTTGGAAAGTTGCGATAATGTCCGACAACCTTTCTTATCAGGCTATTTACAGAAAGTGGTTGCTTTATATTTCTAGGAAAAGTTTCAGGTTCTTCTCGTTGAATAATTTTGAATTCGATGTTTAATCGAGGTTGGATCGAAGTTCGAAGCTTTATTGAAATTCAAAAAATGAATTGATACGATATTGTTTGGAAGCAAGATGCAAGTTTCAATAATCTCTGATTAAAATAATGGATTAACGATGTCATTACTTATTCTGAAGTCGTCGAGGTTCATTTGATAACGAGCACTCTCGAGATAAGTATGATTAAAGAAGTTTCAGGGGAATCGAGTGTTCCTTAGGTTCTTTAAAATTCTATTAATCCCTTCCGACAACATATGTTGGAGGAAAGGCGGAGAACTCGGCAAATATCGTTAATGTTCGACACGGATAAAAGAGTTACGTGACTTTTCGCGAATCATTTCGCAAGTTAGATAATGGAAAGGTAGAAAAATGCCCTTGGAGGTGTTTTATCCGTGACAGGAAATTCAGTATACATACTTCCAAAACGTGTTCCACAATTTATATAGTTTCCTAAAGAAATTTCCTAAAATATTCAGGGCCCAGAAATTTGTTAATTCCACGAAATTTGTCCCCAGCCCCATGAATGATTAACAAAGAATCGCTTTTTTATTACAATATTGGCGAAAGCCTAGTTTCTTTGGAGAAAGAAACGCCCAATTTTCTGCAGCTTTTTTCCTCGCAGAAGGATACGTTTTCTCGAGTAAAAGAAAAACCACCAATTTCCTCTAAAAGGCGCGCGATAAAAAAAAGGAGCGCTATTTACTCGTCCCTGCGACCTACCCAGGGCCTCGAACTCTCTTCTGTGAATGGCGCGTCGTTCTTTTCGCCTAATACTCTCGTAAAACGAGCGATTCTCGCAACAGAGACGGAACGATAATTATTGCAATTCACCATCGACAAAATTCCCTAATATTCTTTCGAAGCAGAACAATTAAATATCGTCCGTTTCCCGGTGCGTTCTCAGAATAATTATTTTCACGGCAGAAAGTCGCGTTAGTCTCCTCCGTTTACCAATAAATCCCTCGAGGATGCTTCTGGAAAAAAGTGTATCATTCTCTCTCTAATTTTCCCTCTCGAGGAGAAAGTTTCACGACAGAAGAGTGGAGGGCCGTTTGTTCCTTCCCTTCGGAGCTCGCGAAAGCCCTGAAAGTTCCGTTAAGGAAGACGTATAATTCCTCTCTCGATTCTTCGCCGCACCGACAGCCATTTTTATGGCAAAGAATAACGCTCGCCCATGTTTTACCACCGGGGGGGCTTCGAATCTTTTTCCAACGAAAGCAATTTTCTCTTAATTCTGTTCTTTGACAGACACTATTTTTACAACGGAATATGCCATTTGTAGAATTTTTTCCACGCTCGAAGAAAGCCTTTTCTTTCTCTCTTAGACTTTGCTCTATTCCTTGATAACCACTTTTTTTCAATATTTGTAATCGATTATTTAACGTAGAAAATAAAATTTAAAAGAGTTTAAAACCGAATTAAAAACTTTTTAAGTGTATTATAGTTTCTGGTATTTTACCCCCCCCGTATTGTTTCGCGTTGAAAGCTTTTATTCCTCTGCGCGAGCCCCGTAAAACACATTTCCGTAAGAGGGAAGTACATAGCACTTCGACTAATCCTTTCCTAGAAAATCCAATTTCCAGTAGGAAAAATTAACCCTATTTATCACTCGCGAACACAATTGTTTTTCTAGCGAAACGTGCAACAACTTCTCGATCAGTCACCCATAGAAACTAACCTAATCTCACTTTTAAAAAACCTGAAAAGATTCTGATCCGTTCTGAAATGTTCCCCTCCCCCAAGGTGAACCTAATCTTCGACCCCAAAGCACGTCCCGAATTCTATTCCCCGGGAGTCCCGACTATAGTTACACCCTTCGAAGGAACGATCATGGTCGCCCTGAGAATAATAACGAAATAATCCTCGACTGCTTACCGGCCGATGCGGCGCCCGCGAACAGGAGGAATAGGCAGGCAAGGACCGTCCCCGGGAGTCGAGGTGGATGCCCCATGACGTCCACGTAGACAGAAGTCTCGGACTTGTAGCACTTTCACACAATATCAGCCGTGGACACGATGCGGCCGCGAGAGAACACCACAAAAGCACCGATGCTTTTCTTCGCCCGTGCTTTTATGCTCTCGTGGGCCCCCCTCCCCCTTCAGCGCGTCATCAGAGTCCCCCATGGTTGCTGGACATTGGCATACGGTTCGTATGTACTCATCGCTCTGACACTGAGATAACCAGACCCCGGGAGCAGCGCTGCACAAGGAAACAAACGACGGGCCGTAGAACGTTCGTCGGTGGTTCGTGTCCGGATCCTTGAACGTTCGTTCGAACCCGAGACGCGAGATTAGACCTTTTGTGCCGTACTAGCCACGTCTGGTTGTTCGTCATGGCCCCGATCGTTCGTCATTCGTCATTCGTTGCCCGTTCATTTCCTCGTCCACCGTTTCGAGAACGTTGGCCTTCGCCGCGAGCGTTTCAGAGGTTGAGGGTGAAGAGTTATCGGTGGACTCGTTTTGGTTTGACCAGGTGTCTCGAGCATTGGCACGAATGACTCGCGGGGATGGAATTCCATGCTTTGTTGACGATAGAAAATTCACTAGTGTTCTTATTCAATCTTTGATTAAATTATATGAAAGACACCTTGGACTCCTTTGGGTTAGAGCAGGTGTAATGAACGAGTGAAGTTAGAGCAACTATATTGAGATTAGAGCAGTCGAAGTTAGAGCAGATATATCGAGTTATGGAACATGCTTTTTTAGTTGAATTCTATTTAGTATTGATTAAATTTGAATTGATGGCTACTCTTGAACTCCTTTTGATCAGACCCAGGTGTTTGAGGGATTGGTCCAGGTGACTCTGCAGGATGAAGTTTTATATTTATTGCTTAAGTGTTAGATGGTATAGATGAAGAATATATTTGCACATAAATTACTAATTAAATTTAAATCGATAAGACAAATTTGCTAAGTGAGTGGCCCCTGGGGAAGGATTTGCTGTCTTCATAATTAATCCAAACAATCTCAGAACTTAATTTTCTGCTTGCTGAAGCTTAATTTTTTCCTTTCTTCTTGAATATAGGATATATTTGTTGTTCAAATTGATATGAAAGATCCTTTGAGTTAGGTTAATGTGCTTGTGCTGTTATTAAATGGAGGATACTCTTTTTTATTAAATAGCAACAGTAAATATTTTTGTCGTTTATAATTTTGAGAGATTAAGTTTGAAAATCAAATTAAATTGAAATCGTCTCGACGTTGGTTTTTTAAGATTGCACGCAAATATTTTCTATTTTCTCCGTTAACGGAAATGCTCGAACTCTGTACCGAATAGAGATTGAAATTCTTGTCAGGTCTCGCAGAATCATACGTCACACGCACGTTGTGCCATAACTTCGACCGTATTAAGGAATGCCAACTTGGACGGCGATAAGATTGATTTTTCAGTGGTTTTGCGGAGTTATTTGAACTTGTAGTTTATTTTACGACAAATTACATACAAAACCACTCAATCTTCATCAACAAGAGATACACTTATTTTTACCGTCACGCCTATTTTTGTCACTGATATTGCATTTGCAATTAAATCTGTAGTCTTAATAATAATTATTAACTTGGTCCTAACATTCCCAGTGTTCCCCTAATTTAAATATATTAGGATATCTGGGAATTACATTTTAGGATTTTTGGAAATTACCTACATAATATACTTGTTATTAAAAATGTCAAAATAATGAAAAAGAAATAGCAATTTTTCAGCAATTTATTCTTTCACGATATTTTAAATATTCTGTAAATTATTCTCCAACATTGGAGCAATTTCTGAAAACCTGTCCGTCACGAACCTGCAACAATTTAAAAAAATAATTGCTTCGAGTGACTCTGGGGAGGGAAGACAATACAAAAACGGGTTGAAATAGACTTTGAAAAACTGAAATTTCATACCACGATTTACCAACTTTTTTGGCAAAATTAAAAAATTTCAAATCATTCTAAAAAATTATTTTCAACTGCAGGGGTCAATTACAATCACTTTTGGTGAATAGACATACCCCCGAATTCCTACGCACTTTCGAAGAAAAAATTCGAGTAGGTGTGAAATTTTTTGGCAAAATTAAAAAATTTCAAATCATTCTAAAAAAATTATTTTCAGTTTTAGGGGTCAATTACAATCATTTTTGGTGAATAGACGTACCCCCGAAATCCTAGGCACTTTCGAGAAAAAAATTCGAGTAGGTGTGAAATTTTTCGGCAAAATTAAAAAATTTCAAATCGTTCTAAAAAAATTATTTCCGGTTGCAGGGGTCAATTATAATTATTTTTGGTGAATACACATACCCCCGAAATCCTAGGGATTTTTTAGAAAAAAATATAATGTCAGCTGTGAACCGAATATTCTTACGCGAGTATAAATAATAATAATAACGAAATAACGATACTGACAAGTAATAATATAAATTATTATAGAAATTTCTATTTTTTCAATGTAATAGTAACTGGGTAGAGTGACTATAGCATCGAGCAATTTCCCCGCCGAAGCTTGCTGTTTCAGCGTAATTGCATTCAACTGGATGGAACAATTGTTAGAATGAACTCCGTATCACTTAGCTAAAGGTCCGCTGGAACGTGGACTTTTTTACATAGGTCGACGTCAACCAATTTGCCAAAGTCTCTTAACAATTTTCGTTCTTCGTTTACTCTTCGAGGAAAGGATGCGGCTGCCAATAGTAATTGCGTTGCAGCGAACGGTGAATCGATAAAAACCGGGTTAAACAATGTGGGTCGGTAATTATCAAAGTGATCCGAGTCAAAAATAAAAAAATACATTTAATTTTCCACTTATTAGTATTAATACTGCTAGAGACTAACTTTTTCAATTATAGATTTTTCTCCGTTTACACAAAAAAATCGAGTGGGATAAAAGTTTCAACGAATATACGTCATTTTCTAACTACTTTCTTGCAACAGAAAAGTTCGTAGTTAACAAATTGTTATACCAAAGCTAATTAAAAATTTCAGCTCGACCTTCGTTGAAATATTTAAATTTAAATGGTCGCTCTTATAAACGATATATCTAAACTTGTTAAAAAAAGAATATTTAAACAGTGAACGAATTCAAAAATACCTTGCAACGAGCAACGATAGACACGTTCCCGATAACCTCAGGTTTCTAATAAATAATCATCGTCACGAGAATGTTTGCGCATCTTGGATGTAGTCGAGTCCGTTCCTAATCGACTCGGTTTCTTTCGACGAGTTTTTCTCGTTCAATTGGAATTTAAACCGCGCAGCGCGCCACTCCGCGCAAAACAACTCAAAATCTGTCGCGTGTATTGATCTTATACAAAACAAGATTACACGGAGCCAGTATCGACAAAGCGTACGAAGCTGGACGCGTAAACACGTCCCTCCTCCCTCGAAGATAATTCGAAGAGACAGATAGAGATTTGAATGGAAAATTGTCGACCAGCGGATTAATCATCAGTTTACTGTTCGCGGCGGCTGTGTGGAAAGTAACACGGACTTTAACACGCAAACACACCACGATAACGTGTATTCTCGAGCCGCTGCAAAATTAAATGGTTCAAGATACTCCGCGATTCAATGTTAGTATTATGCATTCGTATGCATGCGTGCAGAGTGCAGTTGCACTTTTTTCAAAATCCAAATATACAATCTTTCGAGCACGCCAGTCGATGCAGTATTCTGTACTCTACAAAAATATATAGAGGTGTTTGTGCAAACAAACTATTGGTTTGGAAGATATTTCGATTGAAAGTTTGGACTTTCAAAGATGTCGTCTCGAGGGACAGCTAGAAAAATATTTCAGTTTGTAAAATAGAAATACAATCTTTTAAGCACGCCAGTCGATGCAGTTTTCTGTACTCTACAAAAATGTATAGAGGTCTTCGTGCAAAGAAACTATTGGTTTGGAAGATATTTCGATTCAAAGTTTGGACTTTCAAAGATGGCGTCTCGAGGGACAGCTGGAAAAATATTTCAATTTATAATACCATAACATGGTATTAAAAACATATCTTTAAGGACCGTAGTAGTCTTCGTGATCATTCGGTCCATTTGCGTGGGACGTTCAGCGCCCGATGCAAAGTGGTTCCTTTGTTCTTGACATTTATCCTAAATGAGCAACGTGTTACCATTATTCTATCCTATCATCAGTAGTGCAATCATTAATTTATCGTTACTTTGTTTACAAAGGGTTCGAAGCCTTCGTGGCCCACCACAATTACCACCAATTACCAATCACCGTGTTTAAATTCGTGCAACGTCGGCCCTCTCGAAAATGACACTGTGTATAATCTGTGCATGCTTTTGCCTGGACGACGCGTTATTAACATATTCCGGCAGCCGGATAGGGGCCCCTAACGGAAATGGATTGTATGCCAGAGTTTGTGACGCACTCGAGCATCTCCGACATCCAGAATATTGTTTCGATTATGCGTATGACACTAGTTTGCACTAACAATCGATAAGCATAATATTGACGTCGAATAATCTATCGTCGTCGATCGGTGTTTGCAAATGGCAGACGCGTCTTGGATGATTTCGAGGATTAAGCGGTGGTAAGCGACATTTTTGAATCTAGAATATCGCCAGACCGAGCGGAAATATTATTTTTATACGTCAAAGTCGCGTTTATCTTCTATTTTGTCTGGCGACGTACAAATTCGTGACAGGAAAACCAAGCTGTTTATCGTTTTCTTTCGAAACGAGATTTCGAAGAACCTCCGGTCTCCTTATCAATGTCAAGACCCGTCGAACGGAAGCTAAACTCAATATTAGAAAGTCTTCGAAGGTCTCGGGTCGCTTGACGACAGATTTTCTCCGTATTCTACGAACTACTGTCCGCCTAAACAAATTTAGGCTGCTGACATTGGTTGATTAACCTTTCCCACGGATGTGGACGAGTAGAATTGAAAAGAATTGACCAACGGAAACAGTGAAATGTTCAATTTCGTTTTCAATTACTCCAGGAGTCCAGGATTTTTATTAAGTAAATTCGACCGTATGTAAATTGGATTATTGTCATAAATAATTCCGTGTCATCGGCAAAGCTTTGTTTCCGGACACCTCGAAAACCCTCGTTACGG